TTCGCGGCGTAGTGGGCAATAATCCTAGGGCAAATATTGGCAAAAATGGTTATCGCCGTGAATTCGCGCCAACTGTGAATACAGGGTTAAGAAAATAAAAATTGATATCAAAAGACAGAGATATCTACACCCTCCTAAACCAATGACAATTATATCCCCATTAAAAATTTTAGCCCCCACCTCCCATTTTTTCCTAAAATGAAATAAAAATTAGCAAAAAAAGGAAATCAAAATAAAACTAACTCCTACCACCCTTCAATTTTATTTAATTGACGATGAAGTCTATAATTCCCCTTGAATTTTAATGACAATTTTACGTCACCCCCACCCACCCCCCGTATAATTTAATTATTTTAAACAATAATTTTTTAAGATAAAAGTAATACACCTATAAATAATTACTTACTAAAATATATTCTCAGAAAAAAAGTACATAAACCATATAAGTGAAAAAAATGTATATTACGCAAAATGTAAACTGGCCAAGGGTTGATAAAATAATTGCTTAAGACCAGCGGTCCCACACTAAAGAAAATTAACGCTCATGGAGTATAGATAAGATAGATGCGTATGCAAAATTTCGCTTTGGAGGAGAGGGGAGGGGGGATTTTTTTTACAATTAATCTAGAAGTAATTTTGGAATATCATAAGTTTCAGTATTAGGCTAGTGACTTTAAAATATTGATAATACACATACAAATATAAATTCATGATAAAATATTTAAGGTGTAATCGGCGTATGAATTTAAATTTATCATGTAAAATAAATTCAATCTTTAGGATTGAGTTAATTTTTTAATGATTTCATCAGTGCTTGGTTTCAAGAACCACCTCCCTATGTAAATTAAGAAGGGCTGACCCATTCAGTACTTCTCGGTAGTGTTGTTAGGTTTGATTTGAGCCTATTTTAAAAAAGGCTAACTCAATATTTTATCCAGTAAAATATTAAGCAAGCCTAGAAAAATTTAGTGGCTTAGGCAATATTTTTCTGGCAAAAATTTTAACCTAGCCAATTTTAAAAGTCTATCGAGCCATTTAACAACACTACTTCTCAGTTATATATTTATTCATGTCAAAATTACCAAAATATATCATTTATTTTAATATAATAGGAAAATAGTATAAAATGCGTTTGAAATTATACGATGCATCTATAGCATTTTTTAGAATATTATCAACCATATTTAACCTTTTATATTATAATTTGCTTTCAGCTAGTTATGCATCATGAAATACTTTAATATCATCACGATAAAAATCCACCAAATATTTAATTTTTTCTAAAATTGATTCGGATGTGTTCTGCGGTAATAATATTTGGAGATTTGTGTGCTGCTTGATTAATCAATAACCTCTCATTAATCCAAGTTATAAGACTATCTAAGAGGGGGATAAAGAAATTTATTTTATAGTATATCTGCGAGTCGAGGTACGCAAATATTAAATTCATAGAACTCTGCTTTTGATTCAAAAATGACGTATGCGGTTCAGCTATTCTCATAATCTCAAATAAAATGATGTTTAAAAAAATATTTTCCTTTAATTTTGCAGTGAAAATTTTCAAATAATTTTTTGGAAAATTTTAAAAGGATAGATAAATATAATGCCAAGGAAAATTTAAAATCGCTATTAATTCGAAGAATAAATTAGCAGAATATTCTGCTTGTGAATATAAGAATGAAAAATTGGAAAATATATGCGATAAAAGGTAGGAATGATCTCGGATGTATTCTGCGGAAATAATATTTGCAGATTTATGTGCTGCTTGATTAATCAATAATCTCTCATTCATCCAAGTTATAAGACTATCTAAGAGGGGGATAAAGAGATTTATTTTATAGTATATCTGCGAGTCGAAATACGCAAATATTAAATTCATAGAACTCTGCTTTTTATTGAAAAATGACATATGCGGTTCAGCTATTCTCATAATCTCAAATCAAACGATGTTTATATCCATCCTTTTAAAATTTTCCAAAAAATTATTTGAAATTTTTCACTTCAAAATTAAAGGAAAATATTTTTAATGCCAAGGAAATTTTGAGATCGCTATTAATTCGAAGAATAAATTAGCAGAATATTCTGTTTGTGAATGTGAGAATGTAAAATTGGAAAATATATGCGATAAGAGGTAGGAATGATCTTTATGAATATAAATTAATAATTAGGGCTGTGCCGATATTAAATCGGATCGGATCAGTACCAATGTTTAACGTTTTTCCGAAAATATCGGATCGGGCCGATACCAGTAAAATACCGATCCGATCTTTTTACTTTTTTTTTAATTTTATTTTATGTTATGTATATTTATTTAACATTATTATAATATTTTCTAAATAATTTTTTTAAATTTTATTTCTTTTTTAAAATAGATTTATAGTATTTTAAAAGTTTTTCTTAAAATATTTATTTTAAATCTTTTTAAATAACGCCAATTTTTTTATTTATATTTTAAATAAAAGAATTTTTTTAATATATCTGAATTATGGAAATATTTTACAAAAGACAAAGATAATTTTGCAAAATGCATTATCTGCGGAATCATCTGAGTCTGCCATCAATACGGCAGGAGATATAGATAGTCCATATCGTAGAAGCTTATTCCCAGAAAATCTGGAGGCTCTCATATTTATTAAAAAAATCTAATATATTATATTTTTTTTATTTTTTTTTTTTGATATTCGACTTTTTTATTATTTTTAAAAAAAACATTATAAAATAAATTATATAATTTACAGAGGATTAAAAAATATATATTAAAATGGATACTATAAAAAAAATATATATATTTTAAAAAAAGGTGGGTATATATCATCCAAGAGAAGAGTGAATGCTTAAAAAATTAGACCGGAAAATTTCCAGGGAAATCTGCTGGCGAAGGTAAAATCCTTCATTGGGGTCCCCTGAGATCTGTCTCATTTTTTTCCCTATGATTTTGATGAAATTGAGGGCCTCGTTTCCAAACATGCCTAGGGTATTGGTAACGATAGGAATGAACAAAGTGTTGGCGAGGCCAGCGTATTTATTTTTTAAGGATTTCTGCCTTTTCGATAGCAGAAAATGAGAGGTTAGACTTGGCTGCAAAATCAACGCAAGTGTAATCCCATGTTAGCGGAAGACCATTAGACCAGGGTATGAGAGAAATACCATCCGGGCGTATGGCATATTCGTTTGAAAGACCCACTGGTTCAAGGGTAGATGGGATATTAACTTTTTTGAGGGCGGCTAGTAAAATGTTATTGATAGATTTATGACGAGGTTGTCGTCCACGGGAGAACTTAATATCAAAAAAAAAATATATATATATATTATAATTTTATATATTAAATATTACAATTTTATAATTCATACCAACATAAAATGGATATAATAAAATATATATTTTTTATTATAGTCTTAATTGTAGAAATAAAAAAATTAAATTAAATTCATAATTCGATTTTTTGCATAAAAATTATTGATTTCTTAATTACATTTGGTTCAAACAGTGGTGATTAAAAATCAGTATAAATATCGGATCGGTTTTGAAGCAATATCGGATCGGTGAAAAATATGTGGATCGGCACAGCCCTATTAATAATCATAACATTGTTATATTTTTCAAAAATAATTTAGCCGGCATCTAAATTTTGGCTTGGGGGGGGGGGGGCAGGAGATTTATCTCCTGCTCTGCCCTAACCAGTGCGTATGCGTCTGAATTAGTAGGATGTACCGATATTTTTAATAGGCCGATATTTCATCTTTAAAATATCATTTATTGGCCAAGTGTTGTTAAACGGCTCGTTTTGAGCCGATTTTTAAAAACGGCTAATTCAATATTTTAGCCAGAAAAATATTGCCTAAGCCTTGAGATTTCGCTAATTGGTGTCTAGACCTTTGTGACATATATGAGCAAAATCTTCAGGCTTGCGTAATATTATTCTAGATAAAATATTGTGTTAGTCTTTTTTAAAAATCGGCTAAAATCGAGCCGTTTAACAACACTAGCCAATATTATAAAATTTTCCGAACTTGTCCGATATAGCGTCTTATTTCATAATATATTTGCTACTTATTATGTAAATAGATTAATGTTAGTATATAAATAAGTAATTTATCAATAAAAATATTTTATACAATTTTAGATTCATGAATATGAACTATAAGTATAACTGATCATTATAATATATTTAATTGACCTATGATATGGTGTAATAGAATTATAGATGTTATACTATTAAAAAGTATGAGATGCGTAGATTTATAGTGATGCAAATTCGCTCTATTTGAGCCGATTTTTAAAAACGGCTAACTCAATATTTTAGCTAATAGATGTCCAACCCATTGCACCATCTATAAGACCTTCAGACTTGCGTAATATTTTTTAGGTGAGTTAACCGTTTTTATAAATCAACTCAAATGGAACGATCTTGCAACACTAGATGTATGCTAAAAATTAAAACGATTAGTATGTTTGCAGAATACAATCGGATAGGTAATCGGTCAATATTCATTTAATATAGGTAATATTAGATCGGATAGGCCACCAAAAAGTGGTATCGGTACACCCCTAGTTAGGATGATTTTTAATTTATAAGTACGTTCATAATCAGTCATACACATACCATATTATTTTATTTTAAATCAAACCTTATATTTTATTACCTTGGCTTGAAATTATTATATTAAAAATTAATCGTTTTTTTATATATAAATTTGTAGCAATATTGCTATTAGTAGAAGATTATATTTAGAGATAATTTATGTTTTTTTAAAGCAGACAAAATTGGATAGTTAAAACTTAAAATGTAGGTCATTTTATATTATTTAGGCATGGTGAAAAAAGAATCAAAACATTTTAAGAGTGCTTAAGGATTTAGCTGTGCTGACGCTAGCACGCTTTAATTTTGGTCTTCATTCATGACGACACTGGCAATTTTAAAGCGATATTTTTATTTATAAAAAGGAACAAATGATTATTGAAAATGAAAACAAAAATATAATTAAAAACAAATGCTTACAATTTTTGCAATTTGGTCATGTGCAGGAAATATTTACCGTCTAGTCGGTTCAGATTATTATTACTAAGATCTCTAAAGTTTGAAATAATTAAATATAATATATCAGTTATAATGAAAATGATTATTTTTACAGTTGGATAATATCCTCAGGTAGTTTTTGAAATCTAAAATCGGAGAGTTGAATTTCATCGTAGTATTGATGATGCGAATGATTAAAGATTATCGTTTCATCCTTATATTTATTTTTTGAAGAATTTAAGGCTGTCAAATGGTTTTGATTGCCAGAATACACGCGACACATAATGCTGTACCCTTCTGGAGCGGTATTCAGTAAATTAAACATTTTGTCGTCTGCAGAATTCGAAGTCACGTTAAATATTTTGGTGCAAGAACAATTGATGTGATGGTTGGACGGCTCATAATTATCGCGTGTGTGATTCATTTTCGAATCGTAGGGCACTCTCTGAGCAGATACACCACAAAATGTTGATGCCGAAACTATTTGTATGTCAAAGTTATTGGGAGAGGAAAAAGGGGTTAATAATAGGATGAAGAATAGGGATGAAGAATATCCAGGAATGCTAAATGGAAGAGGGGTTGCCATCTGTAATTTGAATGAGCCTTCATACGTACAAACTATAATTTTTAACACTCCTCATTAGATTGTTAATAAGATTTTGTTTAAGTTTTTTTTATATTTTACGAATTCCTTTTTTTTGAAATTGTTGTTGAAACCTAATTTTTTATTTATTTTTAAAAAAGAAGCACAAAATATGTAAAATGATGAAAATTTATTTGACAAATATTTTTTTAAATAAAATACTTTTTTCTGTATATTTAGGAATGCAATCATGAATTTTCGTATAGAGAAAAGAACATAGGAAAAAAACCTTATAATTATTCTCAAATTTTAAATCTAATCTAATATTACAGAAATATTTATAATTTAAGGCTTATAGTCAAATTCAAAAACAACTAATCATGTTTATGTATGAAAAAAAAATATTTTTGAAGCCTTAAAGTTACAAATAACTCTCAAAGGATTATTTGTAAAAGAAATAAATTTAAACTAAAAAAGGATTATATTTAATCCGCTATTTGTATGTAAGGATATATTATATTATTTCATTTTACATTCTTTTTTATATTCGTTTCAAAATATGATTCAAAAATAGAATTTTGTAATAAAATTCAAGAACTTGTTAAATAAACTTATGTGGATCAATAAATAATTGCAACATGCAACACATTTTATTAAAATGATAATTTATTACTGGTTTTCGAGGCGTTCGTCAATTTTTTATTCCCAAATCTAATTGCAATGATGTTTATGAATAAATTTTGGTTATAGTAGAATATTGATTGGTTTTTATGCAGTTTTATAAATCATTATGGTAACTATATTTAATTTTTCTACTTATATTAAAGTTAATATTTCATTTAAAACTTTTCATATTTATATTATTTATAATTTATATATTTTTTTAATAATATTTTTCCGATTTACTCACAAATTATAAGAACACGAATAAATGGCTAAAAAAATAATAACAATTTTTTCAAAACAAATACAAAAAAACTAAAACACAATCATTTTTTTTATATTTATTTATTGTTTGTTTTAAATTATTATTATTCTGTTTTAATTTAATCCAAAAATAAAATTATTTTAAAATAAAAAAAATTGTTTGTGAAAATTTTTATATAAATTTAAAATTTTAATAATATATATATGATTATAAATCATTGTTTTTTATCTCTCATCTCACTCACCGATAAAAATGGATATAACAAAAAAAATTTAAAAATACTCCACGGGGAACTCCAAAACCGGCTAAACGATAAGTTCAAAATATTTTTGTTTATGAAATATTCTTTTAAATATTTTTGTATTTTATAAAATTTTTCGTATTTATTTTGCAAATAATTCTATCATTTTATAATATTGATTTTTTTTATGTTTGCATTGACACCTTAATATTAGTTATTACAACCAGTTTTTATTTAAATTAGTTTTAAAATTTGGATATTATATTTTTTTTAAATAATATAAATCATTTTGATAATGAGTGGCGTTTAGGAGGTGGAAAAAATAGTTACTCTTTTGTGTTACATGTCAATACCGCGAAAATTTTAGCGCGAAATGTATTATCGCGAATGTCGATTACCGCAAAAGATATTATAGCGAATGCATTATCGCGAATATAATATAGCGAATGCATTATCGCGAATAAAATATAGCGAATGTATTATAGCGAATATAATACAGCGAAAATATTATAGCGAATGTAATACCGCGAAAATGTTATCGCGAATACATTACAGCGAATGAATTATCGCGAATATATTACCGCGAATGCATTATAGCGAATGAATTATCGTGAATGGAGTTTCATGAAAGTTACAATTTTATATTTATCGACTTTTCGACTGACTTAGTTGAATCTGAAAATTAAGTTAAAATGGGGATTGGCTCTAAAAACATTTTTTTATTGAAATTAAGGCTAAGGCTTTTCTTTTTGACTCAAAATATATAAAAAGGATTTTAAGTAATAAAATAGATTTCTCTTTTTCATCTAATCATTTTAAATATTAAACATCAAGTTTTTTCTTTTTAATTTATTGAAAACTTGTAGGGGAGAACGGGGTTATGGCGAACCCTAAAGGCAAACCTTAAGAAAATTATAAGTACTTTATCATTTTTAATAAAAAATATCTCATTTTGTTCAGCTCTATTAGTTTTTTGATATGTTTAAATTTCAAAAATACATCTCTAATAATTTTTTCAAAATATCATTTTTCCTGGAATTTTTTTTGGTAACCGAGTGAACCCTACCCGGGGACGAACATGCCCTTGGTCGAGGCTATTATAAACTCTGCTTAATTTTCCATATATAAAAGTTATATATTTTTTTATTAGGATATATTTAATGATTTAAAACATAAAAGTGTTATATAAAATCATTTAAAACATTCACAATCTTTGCAAATAAAAAAACAATAAAATTGCAAAGCCATGTAACTAATAACTGACATTGAAATCAGTCTTGATTGTTATGCTTGATATAATTTATTTGTATACCAAACAATTATTTATCATATAATAACATTTTTCGATTTTTTTTCTTTTAGTTGGTCTCTCCTTGGCTTTTTTTGCATGTCGAATTTTTAAAAAATAGCAAAAAAAAAGTTCGACCTAACCCCATAAAAATAGCCCCAGTAGCACCACTTTGATTAAGATCATATTTTGAAGTATTTATATTATCAATTTTGTTCGGGTAAATTGTTATTCTATAAAATAGGATTTTTTCTTTTATATAAGATGATTTTTGTGTGGTAAAATTGTATATTAATCTTTATTTTTGAAAAATAGTAAAGTGTAAAAAGTTACTTTTGAAGGTACGAATGATATAAAGCATTATAAAAATTCTTCAAGCGGTCCGATAGAAATAAAAATTATAGCCGCATATGCAATATATAAGTATATAGTTTTGGTAAAAAATTATCTCTTAGAGTTTAATACTCTAGAAAATAAAGCCACTCTCACTATAACCCTGGGTTCATTATTACACCGGTCTCCCCTAATTATGGGCATCAGAAATTTTTTAGCTTTAGCTGATAACATAAAATAATATCACAAAGTTCTTTCCAAAAGTGTCTTACTTTGTGGAATAAACAAAAAATGTCTACCAATATGGCAGGTAACATCAAGAAATTGGGTAGGTATCTGATAAATTCTAGTGGAATTCGTATTACGAATCTATGGTTTTACTTGATAAAATCTTAGTTGAAAAACAAAAGGAGCTTGATGAGTTATATGATAACCATGGTTTTAGCTTGGTGAACTGGATTAATATTCCACTTTTTCCTAGAGAATTCAGGAATTAAACTTGATTCCAATTATTATTTTAGGCATAAATCAACTAAAAAGGCATAAATGCGTATTTTACAATAGAGAGTAAAAAGACTCAATTAACAATTGATATCCTTTTTGGTACTGATCCCAAAAAACTCAAAAGTTGTGCCAATATAAAAAGAGTGTACAGGTGCTCACCATGTTTTGTGGACGTGATTTGAGATAATTTGATGCAATTCATGGGTTGTTGCCAATATTTTGCCAAAATTGGCTTAATATATGGAAATATTGATGTTAAAAGCATCATTCCAAATCCCACATTCTAGAAATTTAATAGATACTACTGATGGTATACGCAACAAATTATTTCTGAAATTAAACACATATATGAAAAAATCGATGTGCGCTGATAACAAATATATAAAAGTATGGTTAAATTATTTATAATTTTTAAATTCGATTGTATTTTAACTTTTTTATAATATTTTTTACAAATTAAATAAAATGCAACTTAATATATATCTTGATTAGATTATGGCCGTCAAATAAACTTTTATTTAAGGTGGCGATGAATAAATACACATAATTTTTTTTGGTTATTATAATATTCAAATTCAAATTGTAAATTTTATTCGGGCTCGGGTCGGGCTGCGAAAAAATTACTTTGCAAACCTCTAGGTGGCACTAAAATATGAAAAGTTTTAAAATAATAAAATTGACATTATATGAAATTTAAAACCCTCTTTTCGCATTTCAGAAAGTTTCATAATTATATATCATGTTTAAGTATATTTATAGGAAGTATTAATTATATTAGTAATTAGGGGGCTAGTAGACTCAGGGCTAGATCAATAAATAAGCTTACAAATATGATACATTATAATATAATTATATAATAATATAAAATAAGTATTAATTGGCTACTATTATATATAAAAAGAGTTTGACTAAACTGCAAATGCCAAGGTAAACTGCAAATTCCAAGGTAAACTGCAAATGCAGGTAAAATTTTTTGTTACATACTCCATTAATTGAAGTGAGATTCATTTTCTTATGATATAAATAACTTATAAAAATTAAATTATTAGATATATTCAAATAATTAAGGAATATACATTAATAGTTGTATTTTTTTTTATCTCATAATAAATGGTATAAATATCCTTTAATACAATTATATTCAAGATAATTATAATTAAATTTTAAATTTCAATAAAATCCGCATGGCGTATGATATTTTGTGAAAAAAATTTTTAATTATTTTTTGTTTTAATATATTTTAAAATCATATTTGGTTCCATGTCAATTCAGCGAAACTTTTATCGCGAAACACTTTTACGCGAAACTTTTATCTCAAATGTCGTTTATCGCGAATGAAACCTTTAAAGCGAATACATAGAGCGAAACTTTTACGCGAATCAATAATCGCGAAAATTTTATAGCGAAGTCATTAACGCGAAATAAATCGCGAAGACAATATAGCGAAAACTATTTTGCGAAATATATCGCGGCCTAATATTAATTATTTAAAATAATTTATTTAATTTATATTATATTATATGAAATGAAATATGATTATTAAATTATGAAAATGATTTTCTTTTATTTGATATTTTTTAATAATCCACTATTGTAATATTAAATTTTACAATTTATTAGTGCACATTTTTTGAAGTTCAAAAAGATTTTTGAATATTTTGATTTAAAAATAATTTTAAATTATTTTTGCAAATAAATTTTTTTGAAGAATTTTTTTGTGAATTTTATTAAACAATATTTTAGGTGAAATATTTTATAGTTTTTTCAGAGACTTGCAGGCCCGGCCCTAAGCCGTTTGGCCCTGTCCGGCCCTGGGTACACGGGTCAGGCCTTATTTTAATTTTTTAAAATTTACTCTGGCCTGGCCTGAAAATTTTTTTAAAAAAAATATCCGGGCTGGGTCCTATATTTTAAAACCAAATATTTGAAATCGCCATTATTAGCTATAAAAATCAAAAATAAATAAAATATATTTTAAAAAAATCCGGGCAGGGTCGAAAATAATTTTTAAAAAAAAATTCGGTCCGGGCCGTGCAAATGGTACCTCTGCAGGTCTCTGAGTATTTTTAATCATTTTTTTTTATCTATTTTTTAAGTATATTAAAAGAGGTGGTTTTTCCAAATAATTTTTTTTTAAAATATTTAAATTAAACTTTTTATATTATTTTTATATGATCTTTTTAAGGATAATTTAATGTGACAATTGTCATATTCGGTATTTTTTAAGATATTTGAAATTTTTTGAAACAAAAGAGTAAAAACATTTATATTTGTAATGAGAAATTAAAAATTCAATGAAGATGTTCCTTGGAAAAATGTATCATTAGGTATTATATTAGATTTTTTTTGACGCTAATGGGCAAAAATATAAATTATTAACATGTTAAATTAACATATTTTTGAAGATGTAGGAGAGACCGGGGATGGTTGTGACACTTTTCGTTCAAACCTTAATTATTTTAATATTAATAGACTAATCTGAATAATTAAAACATCTTCTGAATCCCAGAAGTATAGTCTATTTGAAATAATTAATATATATTTTATGAAGGTTATATTTTTTTAGAAAATTGAATTTAAAAAAAAATTTTTTTTTGTCCCAACCATGACAGACTCTGAGTACGTTGGGACACACATATGTGATAGTTGGGACACTCGTGAAATAGAGGTCTAAATAAATTTAAATATTTAAAATCAGTAATCCAGTAAGACTAGAGACTATGACACATATGATTTTATTGATAATATTGTAATTCATAATCAATATCTATATAAAAAAAATTTTAGCAAAATTTAGGAAATTTATTTTGGGAAAAAAAAAATTGTAAAAAAAAAAAGTAAAAAATATTTTTTTTAATCATAAACATAGTGAAAGATAAGTATTTAATTACATTTATTACACATAAAAAAATTATCAAATTTGGCACAACTTCCGTGTGCCCATCCATTA